GATACGAGTACGTAAAAGTGTTTTTTGACCCGTGGGAGATGTATAGACGTCTCGCCTCGCCTCGCCGAGTGCTACCCTGCAAAGGATCAAAAAACAGTTTTCTCACGAGTGTCGAACCCTATTCCTCACAACCTATAGAAAATGGCATTTTGCGCACGCGGATCGTGCGTAAAATTTCACTTTACGCACAAGTGATGAAATATACTAATTTCGAACTTTGTGGATCATAATGGGCCCATAATGGGATCATAATGGGCATAAAATTTCACTTTACGCACAAGTGATGAAATATACTAATTTCGGACTTTGTGGATCATACCACAAAACGGGTCGACATACCACAAAAAATCTAACACTTAAATTTGAATGATCGTAAAACGTCCATTCAGAACCAAAAAAAAAAACATTTCAAATTACAAATTAAATTCCGCTTCCTGAGCATCACTACAGCGACACTCAATTCTCGCAATGGCAATTCGTAATTCTTGCACCGGACGCGTAGTGGGTTTCCATTCGTCTTCAAATTTACGATGTCAGGGCAATAAAAATAACCACCATATTTTTTCCGTGCGAAATCCCTCGGAACTAATTACAGATTAATAGCACAATTATCCCGATAATCTCATAAATAACAATTTTTAACTCTCCCAATGGCAACTTCAAACGGAAGGAAGTAATAATAATCCCTCCCCCTAGCCCCCCCCCCCCCTCCCACAGGGTTGGGTATACACTAATAAATCATTTCACGTGATAACGGCAGAAGCCAATTATTTCTCCCGTACTTGTCCCCCACCCCTCCACCGCCACTTCTCGCCACACAGTGCATCCATAATTGCGTGTACCCGTGGTGTTACGGGCAAGAGAGAGGTAATTTATTGGGTCCAGAAGGAGGAGTCTGTGTCTTATCATTACTTCCAGTAAGAGCCAATTCGTGATGATAATAAAATCCGGGATAACGAGGTTATCGATTATCCCTACCTTTGTCCCCTCCACCCGTCCATTGTGTTACCATTTGCACGGTGATATCAGATCATTTTCAAATTTTCAATAATTGAAATTCTCATTGAGTTTTCAATTTTCGATTATCGATTTTTCGATTATTAAATTTTCGATGTCTCGATGTCAGAAAAGATATCAATCGATAGCCAGGCAAATTTTAGTTGGAAAAGTCAACATGACGACCCATTTGGCCCCATGTATGTATAAAAAAGTTGAAACCAAAAATAATTTTTAAAAAGTCTCGATATCGCGATGTCGAAACCAATCACAATCGATAGCCCGGGAAATTTCTGCTGGAAAAGTCAATATGATGAGGGATTTGGCCCATCGGTTCATCAAAAAGCTTGAACGAAAAATATTTTTCAAAATTCTCGATATCTCGATATCTCGAAATCGAAACCAATCTCATTCGATAACCTGGAAAATTTCCGCCCAGAAAGTCAAAATAACGACCCATTTTGCCCCATCGCGAAAGAAAAAAAAACAAGAAAAAAATTCTCAGATTTTTCAAAAATCGAAATGACGATATATCGAAGTAGAAACCGAAGTGAAAATTTTAATACAAATACCCATTTTGCCCCACTTCACAAAGAAATGAAACTGAGATGTGCAAAACATTGGTTGTAACAAAATACTTCAATAAATAATGATGACGCAGAACGGGTGATCATGTGGAGTTTCCCTCTGAAATTCCCCACCTCATAATTATCGCAATGATTCCAAACCTGAAACCACCCCAATCACCAGCCCGGGAAAACCCCCCGAAAAACTCATCTCGCCGCTCGATTCATCACAATTATTTATCGCGTTATCACCCGAAAAACTTTTCACCCCAAACATTTATTTAAAATAACTCATGAACTAATTACTCGAAATGGATCGCCCGTGTTTCCCAGTCAGTCTCCCCAGCGACTACCCCCCTCACCCCTCTATCTCTCCCGACCCGCCACCCCCACCCCCTCCGCAAAAACCGAAATATTCCGCAAGACAAAAATCATAAGCGGCTGTATCCTTAATATACACAGAGAAAAACCGCTAAATTCTCAAACAAGTCTTATTTGTGCCTAAAAACAAATTCTTAAATTTTCGAGAAAAGCGAAGAATTTTCCATATTTTCATCTAAAACCGCAGAGTTTTCGCGAATGTTCTAGAAAACTGAAGAATTAAAAATGAAGAAACTAGAGAAAATGGAAAAAAGAATTTTCTCGAATTTTCAAAAAAAAAAATCAAGACTTTTCTTGAACTTTGAATAAAAATCTAGAATTTTCCAGAAAATTGGAGAATGTTCCAGAATTTTCTATGAAACCAAAGAATTTTCTTGAATTTTCTGTACAAACGGAGAATTTTTTCGAATTTTCTAAAAAAATCTAGAATTTTCTGGAATTCCAACAGATGGCGCTCGCCGTTAGAGATAACCCCACGAATGACCGCCAACATGAAATTAAAAACGTATCCACTTGAAGAAAAAATTACAAATCCACAAATCACGCATTCCCCCCGTTGCAATTGAGATTAGGAAGTGGGAGGTCAGAGCAATTAGCAGGGTCATCCCACTCCGTACAATGAAAAAACCTCCTCCCCCCCACATTCTTCATATCCAACCACGAATTTATCGCTACGACTAATTATTCGTGTGTGCATTTATAATGGGAAATAGAAACGCACGCACGCAAGCTGAACGCATCGCACCGCATAATGCGTCAAGGAATTATGTGGTGGGGGTCAGGAGGCGGTCGGCCCAACGGTGTGGTGGGACAAGGGGGGTTCGGAGGGACGAGCGAATGGGGTTTTTCGGTTCAACTGTGTGCCAAGAACAAAGACAAATCGTGGGACGCCGTGTGTTTCGCCGTGAGGTTTGTTATTTTTTTTGTTTTTATCCTTTGCTCTCTTGTTTTGCTCTCTCTGTTTTGTTTTCTCTCGTTGTTTATTTTTTTTCGTTACTCAGGTTCTCTCATTCGCGTATCTCTTTTCTTCTGTATGGAATATACAATCTGCGGTGGATCTTGAAAAGGGTATACACCACCGGATGTGACGTCAGTGGCCACGAACGTGATTCTGCCGGTTTTCTGCAGTCGATCTCGCGATTTTTTCTTTTTCGGGGGGAGTCGGGTAATCTGGAAGGGCGATGGGAATTTTCGGGCGGTCATGGCCGTCAGGGGATCATTCTGCGAGGTTTTTCTGAGGGGTTGGGATGGGGTTTCGGAAATTATTCTGTGGCTGGAGGTTTTTGAGGAAATCCGGGCTGAAGTGAGTTCAAGTTGAAGCGCTTTTGAAATTTATTCAGTCATGAATATCATAGAAAACTATGGGGAGTTGAGAGGTTATTTATAGAGAGTTTTGAGGATAATTTCATGATCTTGAGAATGAGCCCTGTCGGAAGGTCATTGATATCGCAGTTTTGGAAATAATGAAAATTGAGAGCGTCACAATTTTTCATTGCACTCTCAAAATTTGTTTGACGTTAAATATTGTTTCTGATTTAAACCTTTGATATTTGGGAGGACTCTAGAGGTTTTTAGGGTTATTTGTAGGGCGTTTTGAAGATAATTTCATGATCTTGGGAATGAGCCCTGTCGGAGGGTAATTGGCACAGCAGTTTTGGGAATAATCAAGGTTGAAAGCGTCACAGTTGTTTGTTGGAGTCTCGAAATTTGTTTGACGTGAAATATTGTTTCTGATTTAAACCTTTGATATTTGGGAGGACTTTAGAGGTTTTTAGGGTTATTTGTAGGGCGTTTTGAAGATAATTTCATGATCTTGAGAATGAGCCTTGTCGGAGCTGAATCGGTTCAGCGGTATTAGAAATAATCAGAATTAAAAGCGTCACAATTTCTCGTTGCACTCGCAAAAGTTGTTTGACGTTCTATATTATTTCTGATTCCTCTCACCTGCAATATTTTGGGGAACCGTGAAGGTTTCCGAGGGTATCTGTAGCGCATTTCAAGGATAATTTATTCGCCTTAAAAATGAGTGCAACCGAATTGCAGCCGACGGAAAAGGGCGTGACATAATTGAGGTTCAAGCGTTTCACTTTGTCGTAACGTTTTTAAAACGACTCTAACGTTAAAGTCTTCCATGATCAATATCTCCGGAACCAATTAGCGTTTCGAAAATAATGAGTAGTGCATTTTGTAGGGTATTAAACCCCCTTTGTAATGCGATCAACCCCATCGAATTCAGCTCCACAGTTCCCACCGAAATCCCCGTTAAAGTGACTCGAATTAAATTCATCTCAACCTGAAATATCCCTTATTCCTACCCACCCCTTCTTATCTTAAAACACGTTCCAACGTGATTGTGGAGTCATATACCCGCCACGCGACCTATCCGGTGCTGAATCCGATATACGGTACACGTATAGCCCCTTCACCGTGTCACTGAGACGTCGGGACCCGTTTCCAGTCATGTGCGTTCGATTTACAAGTAAAAAAAATGTACTCCGAGACGAATTTATTGGCACGCGATCGTAAAGTCAAATTCTTTTCTCTCCCCTTTAAAATGGTTATTGACGTCAGTACCTACTGTAGTTACTGTTTGAGACTACATAACATGTACGAGTATTTCTCATATTATTGCGTTCACTTTTATGTTCCTCGGCGGAATTTTAATGCAAATGTTGGTTTTTTCTCGGAAATATAATCTATTTCAAACGCATAAATCTCGAGTTTTTTTTTAGGTTACCTCGAGGAAAAATCTGCCACTGGGGGTCGATAATGACCCCATTGGCTAGTCAGAGAGATTTCCAATCCAAAATCCTACAATTGAAGTCATTTTCATCGATTATTTCCCCAAATTTTGAAAACCCCGTTTTTCGAGGTCAAAATCTATTTTCGAAACTGTGTAAAAACTGCTGGGGCAAAATGGGTCGTCGACCAGAGTTTCAAATGGTGAAATTCCGTGGCTATCTGACGGGGTCATTTTCGACCCCATACCTCCATTTTTCAATTTTGTTAATAAGTTGGATTAAAAAAAGTTTAATTACTTGAGAATAAATCACTCACCCTCACAATGCTCTTATCTCCACAGTAACCCTCCATTCTGTATCTCTCCTGCAACAAAAAAATCCCGTTTGAATTAACAATAACAATCCAATTACCCTCGGTCCATTAAAAACTCAATTAATCCTGATAAAAAACGTGAATTTCATCGATAATGTTGGATTGAATGAGCCGTAAGACGGCTTTCAATTAAGATTGATAGAATATCCCAGATGCCCCGGAAACTCAATTACGTCAGAAAATCGATGGAATGAAATTTAATGTCTGCCAACAAAATTTTTAAAAAGTTGATGATGAAAAATACCCCGAGTATTTTTCCACTGTAAAATCAGCGGTTAGATGGGGGTAAACATTCCACCGAAGGATAAATTGGAAACAAAAAAAGTGAAAAATAATTGATGACGATATAATATTTTGAGTAATAGCAAATGGAAAGAACACGTGTGCGGGCACACGCTCAGTGGCTGTATTGTGTACTCAGTATTATTTGCGACTAATCAGAATGGCCGTAGGGCGTCTACCAGCCGGTGCTTGATTGCCAGAGTATTGGAGAGAGACAGAGGAGTCCCGTATACACCGGCTGGCATGACTGACTCTCCCATTGCCTCCCAACAACTCACTGTATACAGTATATATGACCCCGGGGAGATTTTACAAGATATACCGGGGCTAGCACGAGTCTCAGAACACGCACGTCATGCTTCACAATTCCTTCGTGAAATATTGAAACGTGTATGAGTAGAGAAAATTTCTGGACGAGTGGAATCCAGCGGATATGGAGCATTTGTAACGAAAAATTTATCGATAGATTATTTGTTAGGGATATCCAAGTATTTTGTTTAAGTTAGCAACTTTTTTCATGATTTGAGTTTTGCCGAAAATGTTGTCATTCCCATACTTGTGAATATTGTGAACAGTATTTTAGCCAATTTCAGACTTGACTTTCTTTGGTCTAACCTCGACCGGAAATTTAACGGAAATTTTTTTTTGTCTAGGTTATGGAGACGATAATTGAGATTTAGGCATTATGGTGTTATGATTAGAAATGTTGATCGGAGGGAGGTGGGGATAGTTTCATTCGAAAGCTGAGGAAATTTCAGCTGGAAAACACCATATGGTCGTTTATTTTAGGCCATTATTTCGGAAAATTGAAATTCTAACCCCAAAATTCGAAATTCAACTTCAAAAAACGTTTCCTGTTATATTTTTTCAATGCTTAGGCCAAAGTAGGTCATGTGGGTATATTTTCCAGCCGAAATTTTCCGAAGAATCTATCTATGCACTCCAAATGTTGTATTCAATCAATTTTTCTAGGGAGAAAATGGCGTTGTTAGGGAATTTTTAGGCGGCGAGGGATGACAATAATTCCATCGAAAAAGTAGGAAAATTTCAGCTGGAACACACTATATGATCGTCTATTTCGCTCCATTATTTTGGAAAATTGAAATCCTAACCTCAAAATCAAAATTTAATCTTGAAAAACATTTTCTGCTGTATCTGTTTAATTAATGGACGGAAGTAGGTCATGTGGGTATGCTTTCCAGCGGAAATTTTTCAAGGAATCTAGCTGTGCCCTCTAAATTCCTTATGCACTAATTTTATCTAGAAAAAATGACGTCATTCAGAGCAATTTAATTTCAACAGCGATGGAAATAGTTTAATCAAAAAGGCAGGGAAATTTTCCACCGGAAAACACATAACGATAGTTAATTTCGCTTCATCAGATTAGAAAATCGAAATCCTAACCTCAAAAAAAACGTTTGTTGGTGCATCACCCCAAAGAATGGGGTGATATAGGTCATGTGGGTATTCTTTCCAGCGGAAATTTTTCAAGGAATAGGGGTACATAGTTCAATTCTCTCCAGCATGCCACCCAGCCCCATCTCCTGCCAACAGGATTCCTCTACCTCCTCCATTCCTGTATAACCATTTCCTTTGTTCCTACCTGATGATAAATTTATGAGTAAACTCAGTGCTGACGTCGATTGTTTGGCCAAAAAGCTAATTCCTCATTCCCTCTGATCAATGATGCAACGAGAATGGGCTCCTGCGGACAGCGTGCAACATTCTCTTGTAGATTCTAGCATAGTTACAAGCGGATGGTGTATTTACACTTGGGATATAACCTCCACCCTCGCTTGCCCTTCACTCTCGAGGATAAAGGAAGGGTAGCGAGGCCTGCGGCAAATAGAAGGGAAATGCTGGATGGGTCGAAATCGCTCTTCCTACCCTTCGTCAAAGATGATAGAATTTCAAGGTTGCCAAGTTTACGATTTTTTTTTGTGGAGGGATGTAGGGATATACGAGGAACTATTCATCAAAGTGAGATTGGAATAGTTTCACTGGAAAGCCAGGATTGGATTTTTAGTCAATCAGTTCGAAAAATCGAAATTCCTAACCTCAAAAATTAATTTCATTTGTATCTTCTTTAAAAATTGAGGGAAAAAGGTCATCATATAGTGTTTTCCAGCGGAAACTTCCCTAGCAATTCAATCCCGCCATCTATTTTCTCCTATCCTTCACCTCATTTTTCTATCATGACGAGAAAATAGGACAAAATGGTGGACGATCTAGTGATTATTGTACATGACTCATGCATTACTTGCTTGTCCCATTGGAAAGCCAGGGAAATTTGAGCTGAAAAAAACATAACATGACAGTCCATTTTAGTCACTCAGTTCGAAAAATCTAAATTCCTAACCTCAAGAATTAATTTCATTTGTATCTCCTCTAAAAATGGAGTGAAAAAGGTCGTCATATGGTGTTTTCCAGCGGAAATTTCCCTAGCAATTCAATCCCGCCATCTCTTTTCTCCTATCCTTCACCTCATTTTTCTATCATGACGAGAAAATAGGACAAAATAGTGAACGATCTAGTGATTATTGTACATGACTCATGCATTACTTGTCCCATTGGAAAGCCAGGAAAATTTGAGCTGAAAAAAACATAATATGACAGTCCATTTTAGTCAACCAGTTCGAAAAATCGAAATTCCTAACCTCAAAAATTAATTTCATTTGTATCTTCTTTAAAAATTGAGCGAAAAAGGTCATCATATAGTGTTTTCCAGCGGAAATGTCCCTAGCAATTCAATCCCGCCATCTCTTTTCTCCTATCCTTCACCTCATTTTTCTATCATGACGAGAAAATAGGACAAAATAGTGAACGATCTAGTGATTATTGTACATGACTCATGCATTACTTGTCCTATTGGAAAGCCAGGGAAATTTGAGCTGAAAAACATAATATGACAGTCCATTTTAGTCAATCAGTTCGAAAAATCGAAATTCCTAACCTCAAGAATTAGTTTCATTTGTATCTCCTCTAAAAATGGAGTGAAAAAGGTCGTCATGTGGTATTTTCCAGCGGAAATTTTCCGAGGAATTCAATCCCACCATCAATTGTCTCATATTGTTCAGCTCATTTGTCGATGATCATAAGAAAAGAGAAGAAAAATTGCGGATGATGCAATTACTATTGCACATCACTCAAATACAACTACCCCACAACTTGAACCCCTCGGGGGAGCATAATGATATTCCCGGGTGTAATGTAACACCCGACCAATCGCATTACACGTGTGAAAAGGGGATAAGATGAGTGTGGTAGCTGAAAATTAAATAAAGTGCCTTTATATTACCATAGTTAGTGGCACTTTATTCTCGTTAAAAAATGAAGAAAAAAAGAAAACCTCAACGCTTCAAAGATGAGTGCCATTATACGTTGGTGAATTCTTCAGGGTAATCCAGTAAATTCTGTAATGCAAATATGCAAAATCCGGGGTTTACCCCATGTACACGAGTTATTCTGGGAGACGTCACTTGCACACTCGTGTCACTCCAGCCTTTTGAGATGAATATTAACATATCCGTTGGAAAAAATTCCAATTTTCGTCATTTTTGTATGAGAAGGAAATTCAATGCATGTTTTGTGGAAAGAAAAATCGCATTATTCTATTCAATTCGTCTCCGTCAATATTTTCTCATGCGGTGAGGGTGGAAATTTCACTCGTTGATGCCATCAATTTCAGTAGTCAATCATCTCAAGTGTAAACAAGTGGATGATTGCATTTTTTTGTCAATGAGTAGAGTTATTGTTGGTAATAAATTAGCAATTGGTTTCCGGGTGGATTCTCTTTTGTTGAGATTCTTTTTTCACTGTTCTCTTCTTCTATTTTTGCAATTTTAAGTTTTTCAATTCGCTAATGGATGGATGGAATTGCATCTTTTTTTTTCAAATGTAGGTATTGTTGAGCCCTATCGATCGCCATTAATTAAAATTCAATTCATCGATTTTTTTTTTTAATTTTCGAATTTTTTCAAAAATCGGTTGTCCTACGATAATTAAAAAAAATGTTCTGAATTGATTGAATGATGGCTTAAAAATTTGATTGCATGTCCATTTGACCAAGTTCGAAGATGAAGGCGATAGTAATAATCGTTATTTTAATTTATTTGAAAATTGCAAAAATTTTGTATTTTTTGACAATCAGAATTCCGGGGATATCTTTGAATATCATGCTTCAGATGAATTCAATCACAGCTTAAAATGTTTGTTTTAATGCCATTATGTCGTAGTTAAAAGATGATTACGATAGCTATATTGGTTGATTTGATTTTTATGATAATTGTTGAAAATTTCGAATTTTTCATGAATTTCCCTGAAAGTGAGCTTTCTGATGGTTTCTTCAAATGTAATATTTCAAATTCATTCAAGTATGTATAAATAAAATTTTTCTATTAACATTTTATCGAAGGGCTGAGGGGAGAGATAAAACCATAAAAAAGACAATCGGTTGTATAGAAGAAACGGATAATAAGAATAATGATGATGATAACATTCAACTAAGTTGAAAATCTGACAAAATTAGTTAAAAAGAAATCTTATTCAATTTAATAAAATGAAGTAAACAATGAATTATACACGATAGAAGGAAATAATGTGCGAAATAAGCATTCTGAAGCATATTGCCAATTTATTAGCAAAAATGACTATACTATATGCAATGCAAAAGCAATTTTCCACTTGTTTCATGTCGTAGGAGTGTCATC